ACATAATTAAATCAGCACTGACAACCACAATAGATTTTTATGGTTATAATGTGACAATCGATTACTATCATAAAGTTAAGAAAACAAATCCTTAGCAAGGAATTATGAAACATTGAACATACCATAAATGACTGTCGAGAATTTGTTTAAATGACTACTTATCATAATAAATTATTCATGTATAAAAAGAGTAATATTTTCATATTTTCTCTACTTTTCCATGACTAATTTCAACTTGTCTTTGAATTACTCTACAGATTAATGACAGTAAAACTTCATTTATAAAAAAAATACTACATATTATTTCTGTGAATAATAAACAGAATTCTGTGTAATTCACATAACAACTAATAAAAATTAGTCACAGATCGTGTACTTCTTTTTTTAACACCTAGAGACTTGTTTTACTTCTATCTTGATTTTAATTAAGTGAAAAGTGAAAAAGAGGGGGAGGAACGTAGTGTAAGGAAAAATATGTTTCCGTTAGTTATTACTTGTTTTATTTCCTTTTATAACACATACTACATGACATATTGATAATAGTAATAGTAACGGTAATATTATTATTATTACTATAGTTTTTACCGGATATATTCCGCAAAAGGTTGATAAACAAAAACTTATTGTAACCATTTTTTCCTTTCTACAATAGTTAAACCGATACTATCTAAATGTATAGAACTCTTCAGTGTTTAGGGAATTACGAATGAGACTAACAAAAACGTTATTTTGTGTCTATGTATACATTTAATGACAAGAAATTGAGGAGAGAAAAAAAAGGGATTTTCTTAAAAGTTTTACACACTACCTTATCTTTTATTTATCTTTCTGTCTCATTTTATTTAATGTCACTAAAGTTATTAATACTGTAATGATTATCTGTTGTTAAGGTTACTCTCTTAGTTATTTTGTTTTTGTAACCAAGTCTATATGTTAAGTTATGAGAGAAAAAAAGGTTTACCAGTCAGTGAAGAAAATCTTTTAAGCAATAAGAAATGTTTTAAAAAACAACAACCCCGATTGAATGATGAATCTGTGATAAGAAAGTAAAATCTAATTAAAACAGATATAATTCATTTCTCCTGATAACAAGTTTATTAGAGTGTGTGTATACACGGAGTTTTCATGGTGCATAACTGTCAAGTTGTAAAATTCTAATTAAACGTTTTATTTTAATTATTATTCCATTACTATCAGTAGAATAATTGGATTAATTTTCATAACAAACAAATATCAATTAGTGAAACATTGGAAAACTATTTTGGCATTGAATTATCATTATGCTTACTAGATTATTAGTTTCAAGGTGATTTTTAATTGAAAATTTATTATCTGTGGACTAAGTAAAATGAAAATGAGGCAGTCACCCATTTCTAACATCAGATGAGAAATGTGCTAAACCATACAGTAACTATGGTTTAGAAAAATTCACTTGATAGCTCCTCAAAATAATTTTTACACCAAAATCCATAATATCAGTATGGGGCCCCGCATGCGGGATCTAGGATGTACACTACTGAGGTGTCCCATACCAGGACCGTCTAGTGCTTCCAGGTTTTCAATGGTGGTCTAACATCGATCAATTCATGATCTCAATCAGAAATCTATATTGTTTGGTTTTAATTTTATGCGAGTTACTGTGTAACTACTCCTAAAGAGTTTAAAACCAGAACCAAAAAACTGCAATTCTTTCTAGCTGATAAACGAACTTAATGAATGATATGTATTCTATGAAATATTTTTAGTATTGATGCATTAGAAAGGATAAAAGTACTAAGTTAGGGCTACCTTCATGCTAAGATAAGTAATATCAGTGGTTGATGCGAATTTCGAAATCATAAAGATCAGTTTTGTAGTGATAACAACCTACACACTTTTGATAATTGACGAAAAGACTGTTAAATAGCTTTTCATAGAACCTTCTCTTCATCGGAATATTTAAAACCAGTCCATATCAAACGAAGTTACATCGCGGTAAACTTTTTGTTGTGATGAAAAAAGTGTTTTACTTCATAAATTTAACTTAAACATAAAAAATTAATGTTTTTTGGTATAAAAAACCAACTAAAGTCGATAACTTCATAAGTAACTTTTCTCTAACTATGACATAAGATTCTACAGAACAAAATATGATGGGAAATATTTACAGCTATGAATGGCAATTTTGACGATGTTCTTTCTTCCAAGCCGTATGATTTATATCATGAATCTCTCCACTACTAGGTCAACGGAACAAACTACTAGTCGATTAAGAAGAGATTCTGATAACTCGTTTCTTATCAAAATGCGTCATGATAATGTCAATAAAAACAATGACAGCTTCTTAATTAAACCATCCTACTTAAAAACCACATTGCCTAAAAATAGAATATGAATGAATATGATGAAAAAATAATGGAATCGTAATCAAACCAATTATCACTTAATTTGCTAATCTCATTCATAGATCTTATAAATAAATGTAATGTAGGATCTTATGCTATTCACAATAGGCGAACTACACTTTTTCTTGTATGATCATTTTATCCTAATACAATAACGAAACTTTGCAATCACCTGATAGATAATTAAAGTACATAAATTTTGTTTAGTATTGTACTATATGATTTAGAATAATAATATTACTTAACATCTACTTATAATAAGATAATTAACACCAAAAGTGAATTCATAGAATGAGTACTCGTCTTTCAACTAGTAAATTATACATTGATATCATTGGATACCGGCTACGTATTCTAGAGATCAAGCATGCACGCACAGGACCGAAGGTCCTACGTGAGGAGTTGTGGATGCATATTATTGAGAAGTCTCGTACTAGGACAATATGGTAGTAAATTACTTCCGGGTTTTCGATGATGGCTTAGCTTAGATCGGCCCATGATTTCAACTGAAAAAACAACGCATTGTCCTTAATTCTGAGTTTTTAAAAAAACATTTTAAATAAATTATACTTAGAAAATAATTTAATCGTTTATGTACACCTACAGAAAACTCTGAAAGACGACTGATAATCAGTTTCTGAAAAATTGCCTATTTCATTAGTGTAAACTATGTATCATTTCGATGAAAAATATCTACAGCTTGATTTTTTGCAAAATGTGTAGCTGTTATGACTTTTTCAGTTCAAGTTTAAGGTCTATCCAATCATCATATTTGTGATACAAGTACATGAGTCTTACGAATGTAAAGTTAAATTAACCATATTTTACTAAAATCTACTTATAAAAACCATTCTGAAATAAAGGATACAAACCACTTAGTTGTCGGTTCATCATAAATTATACCTTTTCTGTCTACCAACAATTATTAATTGATTCTATTCAGTTCAAAGGAGATCTATATTACAGAAAATGTCCATATATCAGAGATCACATATATGTTTTATTCAAAATTTTAAAATATACTGGAAATATTCCATATCATATAGTTACAAATTCTTTTTTGAGTTATGCTATATATCGAATAGTATTGGAAAAATCACAAATATAATTTCTGTTCATCTCCTGGATACAAAAACAAAACAAAATAATATGTCAATATAATATTTGATTGTGAAAACAGAAATCATGAAAACAAACTGTAGCAACATTCACTTTATTTTGAATAAAAAACAAGGGTGTTCTTTTTTACCCAAAAATCAACCAGGTTTAAGCAAATGTTAACTGAATCTATTTTTATTATTTGTAATGTTAATTATTATTCTTTGACCAAAATAACACCGATAGATGATCAAATGTTTTCCAAGATTTATAAAACTTATCAGTATGGGGTTGTGGAGATTACTATGTTTTTGATTGAGATTATGAACTGGTTGATGTTAGACCACCATTGAAAACTGAATGCCCTAAGTTTGAATCCTGTGAGCAGGGTCATGGCTGCTTACTACTGAGGAGTTCCACAGTGGGACGAAATGACCGTCCAATGCTTCCAGGTTTTTAATGATAATCTAACATCAATCGTTTCATGATCTCAATCAAAAGAGACTGATAAAAATTGCTTCAGTTCCTCAAAACAATTCTTATTTTATACAAAGTTGAGCTGTTTTTGGGGGGTGGAGGGAAACACATCTTAATTTTCACAACAAAATTCATTTGCTTCATCCAAACAACATTATTACACATTGTATTATGGGACATTTAAACCAGTTTATTTCTACCATGAACTGAACAAATTTTCTCGTTTTAATTGAAAGAAAAATAAAAAATATTGAAATTAGTATAACAAACAGGTCAATTTCCTTCCTAACTAAAAATGAATAAAAATACAATAAAAGTTTATTGTTCATAAGCTTGACAGAAAATAATTGAATGGCTTAGTTGGAGTTTTATTATTTTTATCATTATTATTAATTTTTCTAATTAAGAACACCTTTATCTTGTATGACATTAACTGTTTTGAAGAAAAACCAGAGACAAAATGAAGGGAGAAAGAGAGAGGTAAAGAGAAAGAGTGCAAGAAAGAGTGAAGTGTTTCAATCTTGTAATTACTGTCTTTAGTTTTCTTCCCTCTTCTTAATCACTTCTTTCACACCGATCAGAAGATAGTATATCCACCCACCAACTGAAAACTTTCACATAATCCTGTCGTATATTCTTTTAATAAGATATTTAACAAGAAATATGATTGTGATCTTACTAATTTTGTTTTAAAAAATATACATTATGATTGATTAGTTAGTCAAACTCGATTAGTTAATGATCAGTTTTAAATCTTGTGGGTTATTTGTTTACTACAAAAATATAATATAACAGACAATAGATAGATGGATAAACAGATCGGATAATCAGAAGCCAATTCTAATTATTTTGATCTATTTTCATTTATACTCTCTTGAGGGACCTTATTCTGTCATAAAAAATATGAAAAAAAATTCGACATCATCTATCAATTTTAGCTTTAACTAATTTCTGTATTGATTTATAATTGAATAGATCTGAAATCAATAAATTGATTCATTTTTATTTGCTAATAATCTCTTTCTTTTTCTTGTATTTTAGAATTATGGTCTCTAGTTCTTATTTTACTCCATCACCAATAGTTCGAAGTAAAAGTTCAATGAATATTTTGACATCACCAAATAAAAACAATGAAAAATCTCGTGGTTTAACACGAATATGGCCTTGTAATGTTCAATTGTCTAGATATCAATCATTAGAACATCCTAGTAATTATTATAATTATGCAAGGTCAATATTTATTTGAATAATCTTTTAAAATCATATTTCTTATAATTTCATAATTGATTAATATTGTTTCCCTGTTTACTAACTAATTATAGTGTAGAATAATAGTGATTTGAATACAATATCCATTTTAAAATGTGGCGAAGAGTTATATTACCGGCTTAGACACTTTTTATTGTTAATCTAGAAACCAATTGAAGTAGACCAATTTTAAAAATTCAAGTTGATATTGATATTCACAATTGTTTGATTACTGGGTGGTGATCAATGTTTTGCGTGTCAAGTCCGTCTTAGTGCTGATCAAATGCTAGCGACTATCTCCAACCACCATCTTATCTCAATATATAGTGCACGCAGTGTCGAGTCACCTGGGCTAGTAGACACATTGCAACTTGATCGATAGCATTCGATCAGCACTAAGACGAACTTGATACGCATGACATTGATCATCACCTAGTGATTAATCAATTGTGATTACATCTCAGTCCTGCACAAGCTCCCTTAAGATTACAGGTACACCTTGATATTGATGTTATTTAGACCATGGATTGTTTGCTAATATATCAAGAAAATCCCAATAGTAACTTCGTTGTACCTTGAGGATTTATAGAACGAGACTGGACACTGAAATAGATTGTCTTTACCCCAGTTAATATATTGTAACAGTTGGATTCACGAGTCAATCTAAGCTGGACCACCACTGAAAACGTGGGAGCGCTGGTTGGCCGTTTCGTCCTGGTATGGAACTCCTTAGTAGTTTTTATCCACGATCCCTCATGAGAGATACGGCAATCTCCACAAATTCCCATGCTGATCTATTAATATACTTGAACTTTAATTTCTTACCCACTGAAAGTCCTCACAAACATACTTATGAGTTTTTATGCATACAACTTTATCCTTCAAAACATCATATAATGGCTAAAACAGATAACTTTTTTGTGCCAACCAGTGAAAGATTTTAAGATGGCTGAACATATTGAGCTGTACAATGGTCAGCCAGTAATTACGTCCATACATTTATGTCTAATCATCAGACGGATTACTTTAAAAGCCAAAAATTATATTGACAACAAGCTATGGATCAATTGTATGACAACGTTTTACCTCCTTTTGTACTTTAAAGCATCAAACAATTTCTCATTTTCAAGGGGATCATTTATTTTCCTATAACACAATAAAATTATTAAACATTATATTATATACTTCTCTTTGTCCGCTTAACAGCATGTGAATAACTTTAAAACAATCTGATAACAATAATGTATTTTTTCATTCCGTACTTTATTAGACGTGAGAATTATTGATCCACACAAAGGTTGATCTTTGATTTGTCCTTCGACCAATCTAATTTTGATGGTATATATTTTCCAGATTAGAAAATAGTCCCAAGAATAACATCATTACTTATAATAAGCGTTTTAGTGGCCCTCGTGTATCTGACTCCAGTTCGATCGTGTGAATGATTGTCATCGACTTATTTAAATATACATGTCGCCAATCCTCGTACATATATATGTATATATATATATATATTTATCGACTGAACTCGCGTTAGTGAGTAACGGAATTACAATAAGTCAGATACATGAACGAAGTTTGAATTCGTTTATTCTACACAGTCGTTGATCTGAACAAACAACCAGAAAGATAGAGCAAATGAAGAGAAAAGGATAAAGACGAAACAAAATGACGCTCAGTGGAGAAGCCATGCGAGCCAACACCATTTAACCAAGAGTAAATCTATATTTATAGTCAGACAAAGATAAGCTACAGAAATGTGATGAGTAAGATAAGAAATGTACACACATACGCTTACATAAAAACAGTCAAGGGTGATAAGCGAATAACTAACAAGGTGAAAATGTGACTCAAGGAAAGTGGATAAGTCGGTCTGTCCGGAAACTAGAATAACCTATGCGAGCTTAGCATAAAGTCAGCCACTATGGCATATAAAAACTCAATTCTCAACTCAACAAGATAAACCATTGTGATATTGAGATGGTGGAGAAGATTTGTAGCTCAGGTGGGTGATTTTTATGTTGGTTTGTTCTCTGAGCTGGATGGTTTGGTCGTGGAGCTTTCATCGTCCTTCTGAACGACATCATCAGCACAAACTTCGGGTAGAAGTGAAGTGTTTGAATTTCTCCACATGTGATTCACAGCTTGTCCTCTGCACCTCGATGTTGATTGGTTCTTATTGACCTTAAATCTGTCATTGTTTATTTCTTTGTTTTGATTGTCTCTCCTATTGGAGAGACAATCTCCTATAGGAGAGACAATCAAAACAAAGAAATAAACTATGACAGATTTAAGGTCAATAAGAACCAATCAACATCGAGGTGCAGAGGACAAGCTGTGAATCACATGTGGAGAAATTCAAACACTTCACTTCTACCCGAAGTTTGTGCTGATGATGTCGTTCAGAAGGACGATGAAAGCTCCACGACCAAACCATCCAGCTCAGAGAACAAACCAACATAAAAAAAACCATTGTGATAAAACACAAGCGTCTTCATTTCATGATGGATAATCATCATCAATCTACATCAATTGTTTTTAGATATTCAACAAATACAACACATCTATATAAATTATATCTATCATTTCCAGTATACATATACTTAAAACATTTCTTTGTTCCTACTACTTATATTAATATTTTAAAACAAGTAGGCTAAACTAGATCTAATTTTACTTTGAACAAAAAAGTTTAATTTTAATCTAATTTTTCCAATTAATTTTTATCATTACATCATTTTTCTATGGACTGATAACACCATGGAAAATTTCATTAAAAATTCAATGTTTTTTTCCTTCTACAATGTTCTGTCCATCTATATATGACTTAAATAAGTTAACTTAATGGTGACATATTGTTAACATTATTCTGTTCAAGTTGTTTTCAGTTTAAAGTATACATGTCATATTGTGTAAAAAGGAAGATGACCATCAACAGGAGTATATATTCACTTTTATTTACACACATACAAGCATTCATAAATACAAAAAAACTGTATATCCTTTAATGGAAACCATTATTAAGGCAGTGAACAAATAATAATTTGGAAAATGTCTTAGATATGTATATTGTGTTTGATAATATTGACACAGAGAAATAAAAAAGGAAACGAGCATGTTTTGTTGAGAGTTAGACAGTATAATGAACAACAGAGAAATAGAAGGAACATGAAGGGAATGATGATTAGTTAGTCAAGGTCACTTCATCGATGTTAAAATGAAATTTATCTTAGATGAGCGACCAGTTTTTGTATGTCTTGCTCATTATGTAATTTCTAACATATATGAAACTCTTATTCTTAATGAGTTTGTAAAAAAACGTTGTTGAACTACAGATGTCATACAAGCATACATATATCTTCGCTTATTACTGATGTGAAATAATTAGATCTGAAATGTTTAAAACATATGTATGTTAGAATAGATGAAAAAACAATAAACTTAAATTTATGAAGAAACAAATAATTAATTAATTGAATGATAATAATTATATACTGTTGAAATAATTTTTAGAATTAGTCTACGTGTGCTTCAAAAGAAGTTTTACGTAATAGTAAATAAGTTAACTGCTTCAGCCAGGAGGTCACTAAATGAATAATCTTGGAACCTTAAGTTCAGTTCATCTGTTAGCTAAATCATTTGATGCTACACGTTTGAAGAGATTCCCAAGGAAATTTCGAATTAAAACTTTATACTTATTCTTGTAGTTTGAGAAATTAATATATTTAATTATAAAGAAACATAAGTTGTATCTCGTGTGCAATTATATCACTCAGTATAGAAATTAGAAAATTCTACCGACAAATTAACTGGTAACTGACGAATCTTTTTACACAAACGAGAATATATTTAGGCAATAGTTTTCTTATGAATCTGTCATTATTATTAACTTCAAGAATATGGAGAACTTTAGATTAGACACTTTATGTGAATTCATTCACAATCATTTGAAATCAAACACATGTCACTAGATATAGAAATCAGTTACCTCAGTAATAACATTGAAAATGATATCAATTAAACTCACTAGTTTCTGAAAACTGGAGAAATTCCCATTGATTATAATATTAGCTTCAAATAACTTGTTTTCCCTAAACAATCTTTTTAAATTAAAATCATCTAGATAATTTACTAATAATGATCATGACAAATACATAAAGGTTACTAGTCATAGGAAGCACTGTGGCGGTATTGTTCTCTGTGAAGATCAAAATTTATTGTTAAATATCAACTTTACTGTGTAACAGACAGGACTGAGTTAGGTGATTCATTACTTTAGCTTAACTTAGCAAGTTGTTTTGAACATTAACCATAAAATTATATAAGCGGTTTATGCCTTATTACGTTTAGAAAGATTTAATCATGTTTCATACCTAACATTCATCGAAGACCATTCAAACAAATAACATCCCATCATTAGTGTCTAATTACTTCAACCGAGGGTTGAGTTGAAGACACACAGTTTTTGTGGTGAGCGCCAAACCATAAGACCACCGAGCAGATATATAAAAGTTCGTATGTTTAACTTTAATCGATCCCTAATAGTAATAACCATCATGTTCTCATTAGTGACAAATTTTGGGAAGCAATTACACCCATTCTTTGAGGAGCCGGGACTATTTAAATTTAAAAGCGTTAAATGCCAGTCATTCGCACACCAATAGAATTAGAAGATTGTTGAGAAATATTAAGATTCGATTGAAACCACACGTGTAAACCTCTGATGTGAATGAATGAGACGTTGAGAACCAAGAATAACTAACCAGGTAAGTGTTGAGTCTTAAATTAAACTAACGATCAACATAAATCACTTTGTGCAATAATTTTTACTAAACATCTACCTACTTTACTCAGTTGTATGTACACAATATTCAGAAATAAAATATTTTACCTCTGAAAAAATTGAGGTTTATTATGAACATTTTTTTATTGGTTTTTAGAAAATGCATTTATCCACGCCATAGTGAAACAATGTGGAATTTAGTTAATAAAGCTGCTTTGCAAAATGCTGCTCATGAACGAGCTGAAGCAGAAGAATTACGACTACAATCATGGCAAAAGATTCAACAAGTTAATAGACAAACTAAAATCAGACAAGCTGAAGCAACAAATAAACTACGTGAGTTTATTTCTTCCCATAATATTCAGTTATATAATTAGTGACAATGAATTTTAAATATTTAAATTATATTATGCCCACTAAAAACTTGTTCATTATCTTATGTCATTAAAGCTAAGTAGGTTTTATTTTGGGTTATACACAATTTTATATTAATTCAAACTTAAGTTTACCAGTATTTGTAATCTGACTGTTTCCTTTACTTGTTATCATAAATCGAAGTCAGATAAAGTGTGAAAAACACTAAGTCGTATTCTGTAATCAAACTCAGAATATTCATATAATTTTACAAGTTTACTTCAGATAGAATTCAGTAATTAGGAATAACTATACTGAATTGAAACACAATATTACAAGGTTGTGTTCCGTGTTTATCTGTGGATATTCGTTTAAGTTTTATAGTCACCAGTTTGTGTAATGTTATAATGTTACAGTTGACATGGTCAAAATTGGCAATAAAACAGTTCTCACTCATAAAGAAAACACTTATTCATTGAAGCTTAAATATTATCATATAAAGTGCCTGTTTAAAGAGTTACAAGTATACTGTTCAATCTTTTGTTCTTTATAAGTTACAAGTAATATCTTAAAAGTTCCATATTTGTTTTAACTATCAAGCTCAGAGTAACTGGTGATAAATTCAAATCTGCACACAATAATTCAAACTGAATATACTGAATTGTTTTAAGCATTCAATATAATATAAGGAAAGATGAGTAGTGACTAGCAGTGGAATCCAGGATGTGTGTATCATCCTATTTGGGACTCGTCAGCTGGATGTACTTGCATCTCAGAGTTTATGTTCACTCTGGGACTCCAACCCAGTGCCTTTCGCTTCAAACGCCATCGCGTTATCCACTCAGCTACTGAGTCCTGATAGCCACTTGCTTGTACAATGGGATGAACTTTAAATTCACTTGGTATTGTTTGTGTGAACCTTCTCATTAACGTTTAAGACTGCTGATCAATCGCAGTTCAAGTGAATTCAATAGAATAATTTAAAATCTATCTGACACAAAGGTAATACATATTGTATGCAAATTGCAAATACTTCCATTTAGTTGTTAAATGGCTATGATTATTATCACTAACATGATGGAAAAATACAAAAATTGAAACACTTAGCAAATCGCACATCACTAGACAGTCATTTCATTCAACTTTATCTAGTAAAGTGTATCAATGACACGATTAACAATAAATCAAGAATTTCTAGGGCTTGAGATAAATGTAATACATATACACAATAAAACCAGACTTTAGTGGCTCATATTATCAATTCCAGTTAACTTATAATATGGTTAGATATTCATTCATCTTATCAGTGAATAACTGACTCAATTCAGTCTCAATTGATTCCACAGGTTTGGGGAATACATTGATTGAAAGTACGTTGAGAAATCTGTACGGTGGTCCTTTGTTTTCAGTGACTCATTCTGTAGTCGATGTTTGCCTGTAACAAAAATGGACTAATTATTATATCGACATGTGATATAAATGTTCAACTTTTGTTGTTACGCAATTACAGGACATTTTAAACAATAATCCTACTGTTAAGTATAATGTAATTAGTAAAATAACTTTTTTCAGGAGAAAGAGTGGAAGAAATAAACCATTGGAAAAATGAACTGAAGACGGAAATTCATTTAAATGAAGAAGAACAAGAGAGATTGAAAGTAGGCAATTGTTTATTTAATTCGCAATTAATGATAAAATCAAGTGTAAGATAAAAAGAATGATTATTACATCTTTTAATATGTTGGTTCGGCTAAGGCGTTGTAGTATATGAAAGTAATTTACATTCCTAACTAACTTTATCTGGTAAGCTATTGATTATTAGGGAGTCAACGATAGATATTAGTCTTATTCCCAGAACACTACGTAATACACTAATACAACCCTAAATCTAGTGCCACCCTGTGCTTTAATATCTTGCAACGAGCCTAATATATTAAAACTACTAACTTATATTTAGTTGTAAGATCTGTTAACTTACCTTTAACAAAATTTGTAATCTAATATAAATTCTGTTCGGCATGAAAACCATTAAAACTAGAACGTATTCGTAATTTTTTTTCATTCTATCTTTGCGAACTCTTTAAAAGTGAACACTATTGACCCAATCAAAGATTGAACACTAAATGCCCAGGTCTCATAGAAAGTATTATACCTTTAGACCACTAGATCAGAATCCGCTAGTTCATATTTCTGAATTTATTCAATCTACAATGTTCAGCACTTAGCATACAAATTGTAAAGCTCCTTATAAAATCCACTCTTAAACGTTTTTTCATATTTACCTGTTTTACAAAATAACAGGTAGCTTAAACCTGAAAATATTACATTATAATTTCTGATAGCTTTAGATTTCCGCGGTCAACCTAACACAATATGAAATAATGTTATTCTCTACAACATTATAGAACGAATCATTATATGCTATTATTAGAATAAAGTTTAAAGTGCCAATTATTATTATTAGCATACAGTAACTATTGAGTTTCTACATTTGGTTTACTAACTAGTTGACTAAAAGATTTCACTGTAAAACAAAATAGCTACTTTAAAATTACTTTTTTAAAAACTTGTTTTAATCAATACTTATATAAGAGAAGTTAAATGGTATGTTTATTTTCTCAAAGATACAAGATGTTTAACATGAACTAAAAACAATTGATTTATCCTCACTTTCATAGTCTTCCTGTTCTCTTCTTTGTTTATGAAACATTTCCTTAATATATATATTAAATAACAAATAATTTTTTTACCCTTAGGCTTTTATGACCTTACATACTACACATCAAGTGTTTCATCTTATTTTTTTATTAAAAAAAAAACAAAACAGAAACAACAATGAGTTAATAATTCTATTCATTGTTAACTCCCTCTCCCTCGTTTAAGTCGACAAAATGTTGATTCAGTTTAAAAATTATTATATTTTTCTATTTTCTTTATTTATCCTTTAATAAAATGAAAAACTCTGTTAACGAATTACTGTCCTTTTTTTTCTTTCATTCATCTCATTTCTATTTCCTGTAGTTTTATATGATTTCCTCTTTATTCTTTATGACACGTTTATATTATATTGTTTTCATAGTTACATTGTTGCTTTTGTTTAAATAAAGTAAGGGTAATGTTTGTTTTTTTTTAAAAAAAGAAGAGAGAATTAAGCTATTCTTTATTTCAAGTTTTAAAATGATTTATTTACAAAAAAAGAGATCTAACTAGACAGACAAGACAATTTTATATGAATAAATCATACTTCAATTTATAAATAAACTAATATATTTGTAATATCCCAATGAGTAGAAAAATTAGATTTTCTGACGTTTCGTGACTCAGTGTAAACCACTTCTTCAGAGAATAAATAATTATCAAATCAAAACTTGGTAATGATACCGACAAATTCTTCGATTTAATTTCTATATGTTAATATTACATAAGACCATTTTTTTCAAAAAATAATAAACAATGAAATATCCTACCTAAAGTTTGTGCTGATGATGTCGTTCAGAAGAACGATAAAAGCTCCACAACCAAATCAGCCAGCTCAGAGAACAAATCCTCATTAGAATACAGTCTATTTCATCGTTTTCAATTTTAGTCTCATAGAGTAAAAGTGAGGAGTATCATATTTACATCCGTCAGGATATAAATCTAAATTAACATTAAATTCATTTAGTATTCTTTGTTTGAATCTTCCCATCGATTTGTTAGGACTGCAACTGGTCAGTCTCTAATTGGCATATGTGCATACTATGCGTATTGCCTCGATATAGCCTTAATTCACAAGCATAGTAAGCAGAGGTTTATTTTATTACATAAATTTGCAAATGAACTTGTATTTGTAATATGATAAAGTGAGATATAAACAAATCAATTATAGAAATAATATAACATTGTAAGCAATGACTAATAAGACTGAATAAAACCAAATTCCAATTTAATAAGAAGAAAATAATAACAACAACATACATTCTCAGTTTGTAGTATAATAAGTAATATCATCATTTTAGGTCAACAAATCTTGTCATATACTACTTATGTTTTGTACTTAATAGTTTTTAGTGTTCTATAAATCTCAAATAAGAATTGATTGCTAGCAGCAAAACAAAGTAATTTTATAAGTCAGTACTGTCTACTTGTCTGATTATCTTTCAGAATCTTCGGTTTTCCACTTCTGATGATAATAATAAATATTGCTAATTATGTATAATGGTTGATAAGTATAGGCAATATGTTATTCGGTTTCAATTAGCCATCAAAAGGTGAAATCAACGTTTCTTTTTTATTCTATATATGACACCCGATATCTGATCTAAATACTTTTTTCAGATTAATATTTCCCTTACCTAGTTGCTTCTCGTGTCATTTACCTTAAGTAATGTTATCTTAAACTTTTATTGAAAATTAATGTTTATTGCCTTACACCTTGTTGAGAGGTGTGTAGATATGACAAATGACACTGAAGCTAAGTGAAATTTGTACTTGATTGACATATCAGAAAATTATAAATTTATTAATTTTACGTCACTTTATAAGGTTAGAGTAGTGTTATATTAGATATCAAATGAAATGTTTGAGTTTTTATGGAAAATCTGTAAGTCTTATCTTGTAAGAAATGTATTTAATGCAATAGACCGAAAATATGACCGACTAACACAAAACTACTGTTAAATGTTGATGAATCAATGAATAGAATAACAAATTAATTAATGTGCATAAGATATAAAATAAAGTAAGAATTTAACTTACTTATTATGAATTACAATTGTATTGCTTTGTAATAAATATGGAAGTTATATTTCTCCCTCTTGCTTTAAGTCTGAATAATAAAGTGGGACCATTACAATAAGAGAACTTGAAATAATTTCCATGTCTTAAAATAACCAACTTTGTAGCTGTTCTTCGCCTTGTGAAGTACATCTTAAACTAGACAGCACTGCAAGATCTACATTAAAGCATTTTACATAAGATCTTATCACGAGTCTTGCAAGAAATATCAATTATTCATAACTAAAAAACATTGTAAAGTGAATACAAAGACAAAGTTACTCAAGAAAAAGTGTTAGCCGTAGTATCGATTACTGCTGCAACTACTAACGACAACACTAAACACCATATTTGCGATAATAAGTTTTGTTATTCAACAACTCCCATTTTGACCATGATCAAACCATTGAATCTGCTTCCTTAAACGAATTGTATGCGATAAGAGAGGAATGTTTACGACAAGACAAATGACACATTAATCAATAGTGAGCTATTTATCCCAATTTTACCTTTGTTTTCAATCACCGATACGGTATAGATATAGTATGTTGAAAACTTTATGAATAATATAAAACTGAGCTCTTAAGACAAGTTGAATTTACTCATGAATAAAAATATATCAGTATGAGGTTGTGGAGATTGAGTTTTTATTGAGATCATGAATCGATCAATGTTAGACTGCCATTGAAAACCTGAGAGCTCTAGATGGTCGTCTCATCTTAGTATGGGACTCTTCAGCAATGAGCACACACGACCCTGAACGCGGGATTTGAACCCAGGACCTTGGACCTAGCTTGCAAACGCTTAACTTTTAAACTGTTGAGCCGGTATCCAACGGTGTTAATGTCCAATGCTTCTAAGTTTTCATTGGCGGTCTAGCATTGATCGATTCAAGATCTCAATTAAAAGAATACTAATATATTTAAATCATTAACGCGTAATCTAAATTTCCTACAACCTGCTAATTTTTGAGTAATTCTTTCAATCCTTTAAGTCTCTATTTAGTTAACGCTATAGATTATGACCGAAATTTTTCACGGACTCTGTAATATTTATTATAATAATAAATCAACATTGCGAACCATTAACAGAAATACTGGTATTACGTCTGCTACCTTTCAAAACTTTGTAGTAACAAATACCATCTAAAGTGAAAGAGACAAACAAAATAGAATATGCTAAATTTGGCTTAAAAAAATACCAACAATACTATGTGAAAGACAAGTAAACTTGAATTCATAGAAGATATTCATTGACAGGAAGTGTTCTTCATAAGGATTTATCAATGACTTTATCAATTTTTTTAAAATACCGTTATCCATCAATTTATTCTTCCTATTCCTTCCTGTTTCAACACTTTTAATAATCTGATAAAACTAAGTAATACTTCTTCCCATAATTATTTAACCTAATTTATATCATACAACAATAAAGATTATTCTGAAGATTTGTAAGGGGAAAAATGGATAAGGAAAAGTTGTGATTGACTGAATAACAGTCTCAACATATATGCCCGTATGTATATAAACTATAAAGGACCCAGTATTCTCTAAATTACATTTTATAGGCAATATTTTTTGTGACTATTAATAAAACAACTCAAATCAATGACTAGCATTTTTGGGTAATATGATTGCCAGGAACCCATTAACAAGTTATCTACACAAATCGAAAGTAGAGATTCATCGGAGAAATATTTAAGTCATTAGTTTAACTCAAGTTACGAGTATTTTCTCGGTGGTATTTCTGTATCTCTATTTTTGGCTGTTAGTCGATTGCTCAACTAATATAGTTCATCAACCATCGCGAATTGGTTGGAATTAGAAAAGCGAACTGCTGAATGTTAACTCACTAGTCATCATGATCTCTGGAATCAATGAGTTAGATCCCCAACTGGGCTTCT